TTCGGTTTCAGCGGGTTAAAAGCATACACCAATTTCTTTTTTTTTTGTGGGCCTATCCGATCTAATGTTGTATATGAGCGATTTCCCTTTCCACCAGCAAATCCACACATATAGGGAACAGGCATATCTGCGCAAACTCAAAGATGAATAGGGAACAAAAAATATGACCGATAAAGGATATATTTTTGTTTGTTCGATAAGAATCCATACAAAATTATGTACATATGTATGTACACATATTTAATAACTACAGATTGCCTTCATTTGAAGTGGTTTTTATAACCAAATGTACTCGACCGTCTTAAGTTAGAAAAACTCTAAATCAATGGCTTGCCAACGAATTAATAAAAAAATAGTTTTCTAGTTAGGAAAACTGAATATTAAAAAAAAAAAATCGAGTGTAAAAGTAATATTTTTATTACAATACATTAAGCTTGAGCTAATTTCACCCAGGGAATTGCGGTAGATTTTTTGTAGTTGAAAACGACGCAAGTCAATAATGAAAGCTTTTACCTACACATCTGTTTACAAGTCTGTACATACATACATACGTATGTACATACATATTAAAGCTTACATATTTCTTTATGCTAATGTACTACCGGCATAAGCACAAATATTTTTTTCACGGAATATATTTCTTTAAGATGCACAGAGTAGTGTAATCTATAAATAATTTGTATTTGTTTTTGAAACATCTGCTGCATCGGCGTTTGTAGAAATTTGTTTGGCATGGTTTTGTAGCTCACTGAAATAAATAATACTTACATATGTATGTACATACACATGTATATGTATGTATTTTCGCAAACGCATTTTGTTGTGCTCATAATCGCACTTCGCATTTTAGTGATAATTGTTTAAAATTCTTACAGCGTAAACTTATACTATCTATGTATGACCTTAAATCAAGGTCAACAGAAATGCATTTCTCGCCACTTTACTATAGAGATACATACAGCCTACATACATATGTACATATGTACATATGTATGTTTGTTTGTAAGCTTTTTTATGTACAAGGAACGAATCTTTTGCTCGTTGCCGCTACCGCCGCCACCACTCATGTTACGAACGACGATGGTTGTGTAATCGAATAGTTTTTTGTTTTTCTACTAAGACTTGATGCAATAATTCTTTAAATTTTGCTAGAAAATACCTTTAGATTTGGTGCTTCATCGTAAATTGTTGTATGAACCATTTTGGCTGTTGTTGTTATTCGTTTAATTAATAAACCGGAATATGAAAATTCTTTTCGATTGACCGGAAATTCAGCAGATGTAGTAACTGCTTGAGTTTTTAAACAGGCGCTGCGGCAATACTTTCTATTCGCCTCCTTTAGTCGATTGGTAGAAAAAGTATAAAAAAGGCATTTATTAAATCTACGATTAACCGAAATCTTGTTGTTTATCTATTCTACGCTGTCGAAAGAGATCAGTCAGTAAAATGAAAACTTAGAAACAAATATTCGAGTTTTTTTTTTTTTTTGAAAATTAAATAAATAAATTATGTAGAACGAATGACAAAAGTGTGTGTATAACGCAGCTACCGTAGAACACCGAATCCGTTTTACAAGTGAACTGTCTAACACGCTTCGTTTTACTACGATATAGCCATGATTACAAGAGCGTGATGAGCAGCGGCAACGAAAAGTTCATTGAGATACTAAAGCACTGGGGTTGAGGGTAAAATAATGAATTGTTGGGAAAGTGAGTTTCGGGTCAGGGATGCCAACTCTATTAATGCTAATTCCCCCAAATTCCTGAAAGGAATCCCCAATACCATTCGCCCCAAAATAACTCTTACTGTTTGAGGCACTTTATTCTCATTAAAAAAAAACAACAACAAATATCCTTAATTATTATGAGATAACAAGGAAAATCCTTCTTTAATAATGTATAAAACTAGTACTTGTGATTATATTTCGTAAAGCATATGTATTATCCGGTATACAGGGACTTTACTTCAGAATCATATACTTATGTATTTCTTGATGAAATTTTTGTAGTTGTACAAGTCATTAAAATAGTTGTTTTATAAGTAAAATTGCCTCCAAGTATCTATGTCAAACCNGAGGGTAAAATAATGAATTGTTGGGAAAGTGAGTTTCGGGTCAGGGATGCCAACTCTATTAATGCTAATTCCCCCAAATTCCTGAAAGGAATCCCCAATACCATTCGCCCCAAAATAACTCTTACTGTTTGAGGCACTTTATTCTCATTAAAAAAAAACAACAACAAATATCCTTAATTATTATGAGATAACAAGGAATATCCTTCTTTAATAATGTATAAAACTAGTACTTGTGATTATATTTCGTAAAGCATATGTATTATCCGGTATACAGGGACTTTACTTCAGAATCATATACTTATGTATTTCTTGATGAAATTTTTGTAGTTGTACAAGTCATTAAAATAGTTGTTTTATAAGTAAAATTGCCTCCAAGTATCTATGTCAAACCATTTCTGAATGCAGATTTTTTTTACTAATTTTGGAAAAATTTTCTATTTATTGATAAGTACTTACTTTTATTAG